ATGTCCACAGTACATCATAAGTAAAAGGTTGATACATAATTCGGTTTCTTCAAATAAATTTATTTAATGTATTGTTACATGTCAGTTTTTTATCATACAACATTATAAATATGTACGTTAGTATGATTGACGAAAATCTAAGTTTCATAGATAATGTAAAAAATCAATTAAATATAATAGAACATACAGTTTACTCGTAAACATGGCGGTAGAAACACTGCCAAAATATCGGGAACTCAATAAAAATAAAACGTGGTAAGATCCCGTGAGTTACTAATTATAGTTATAAGTAGAAAATAAACTTATAAAATATTTTTTTAATAAGTCAGAGGACGGAACCTGTATTCTGCCCCCTAGTTAAGGGGCACTGGGTTTATGTGTAATCAGACAGTTCCATTGTATATTGATAATACATATTACACAGTTAATTTATTGAATCACTGGTACTTAATAATTCAGTTTATAATAAAATCTGTTCAAAAAGTTTATTTTACTGCCTCAAGGATAAAATAAAATAATGTAAAATAAAATGAGTGCAGTAAATAATAGAACATTCCTTAATGGTTATAGTATATAGTCCTTAGATTTATATTTAGTAATACTGTTTTATATATATACTATAGATACCTAAAAATATTGTAGCAAAGTCGCGGCCACTATTAACACGCTAATAAATTAATTCCACGCAGTTTAGACAGTTTAAGTTCAAAGTTTCAAACAAAATATCAAGTAATATGTGTTAATGTTTGTAACAAGCGTATAAAAGCAACATTTAAATAAGGTCTAATTGCTAAATGAATGTCCTACACGTTTACTCCATTACAGAAAGTAACCCGTGCAATTTTACTTTACTCACTGCCGGCTGGCAATTTTGGCTCTTTGACATTCATTTATCTCTATTATAGATCTACGGGTAGCGTTGGCCGTACAACGAGTCCCCAGCGTCTCCTTCCCTTCTACTAGTAGAGAAGATAATGACGGAGTGCTGGAGGGTAGGTTCCAGTAGGCGATGCGGACATGTATTTTGGGCAATTTTATCTACATTAGTTTAAATGCAATTTGTATTTTATCTTTTAAGTTTTAAACGGCAAGTGTTAAGGTTATTTAGTAGTCATATTTCCATGCAAAAATTTTGGTGTTTTTACATAGTATAAAACATGATCGCTGTCTGTTGCTTATATCTTATAAATTGCACTACGAATTATAATGCAGTTTTCAGCATTTAGATAGAGCGATTTAAGTGGAAGGTTTATATTATAGTATTGAACAGGCCGAGAAATTCAAATATTTTATAATACAATATGTTCGACTGTTGGTAGTATATTATGTTATCTATGGTAGTATTAATGAACCTATATATAAATTCAGTCTATGTTTAGGTGATTTCATTGATTAAAATTTAACGCAATAGAAAATAATTGCTATGATTAGTGTAAGTAATTATTTATAATATAATAATAATATACCAGGACAATTCACACAACGTCGTCGAGTCACAAGAAATATAAACAGAAATAATCTTTATTCAAATAAACTTAATATAAGCACTTTTGAATGTGCACATTTTTTTATTCTAACGCTTATTCGGAATGCAGACTAATCACAAGAAGAATGAGAAACTTATGTATTGCATTGTGAATATAAGCAGAGCTTGAGTTATGGGTACTAAACAACTAATATATTTTTGTAAGAATAACATGCATAATATACACAGAAAACACCCAATTATAAAAACAATAATACTGATGAATATAGACGTTTGTACTGTGCATGGAATCAAATCCGCAACCAACAGAAGTTAAGCGGTGTGCTAAACAGCTCGACCACCGAATCCGTTATAATATTATAATATAAGATATGGCCCTTATTCTGAAAATTTTATAGTTAAATTTCAGGTGCATTAGCTATAAATCACTGATGTGAGCTAAGGCAGTGAAGTTACAGGACAGCAGCATTAACATTTTAATCCTCCAGAATGTCAACGTACGAGTGGTATCCACGGGTAGTAGTAGCTCGTGATACCACTCGTAATCATGTGATAACTTTCTCCACACTAACGATATCCGGCTGCAGCTTGTTTGCCATTTCAATTACATAAAAAATAGATAAAGTAGTACTAGCGCCAGCTATTATTATTCCTCATACAAGGATTTAGGACTAGGATTAGGACTACTATTGATCTACAAGTCTGTTATAGTGCTGCTCCATTACATGTGCACGGATAACGTGCTTATCACCATTTTTCGTCTGAAAATCTAATGACGGTAATTGAAAAAGCTGTTGACGTTTACTAATATTGTCATATTTATAGGTATTCCAGTTCGCATATAAATACAGCTTTTTAAATATGGGTAAATTAGTATGAAGACAAAAAACCAGACAGTGTACCTCCGAGCCGTCATTGCTGAGATGTACTTCGAGACCATAGCTAGTGCGCGCTAACCGACTCATCGAGAGAGGTAAATATTATTATTTACAATAAAATTACTCATATTAAGACACGACAACAATACAATACATATTTCTATAATGTATATTTATATATCATTTCCTTATACTTTCAATCTTCTTGTAATGGAAGACATCTTTCTATCTTGAAAGAAATGGATAATTCTTAGATTTGTTAGAATTCGTTACGTCGCTAATTATATTTAATGACATGCTCCGGATAGTCGAATAATTCAAGTGTAAATAGTCTTAAGACAGTAAAGGCAAAATTACCTTTATTATTTACTAGCTTCTGCCCAAGATTTCGATCGCTGAACCATAATGGCCCTAGATAAATAGTAGACTTCTGATTTAATGATATATATATGCCAATCAAGAATATTGATTAACCTGTTAAGGTGAGTAACAGGAACAAGCAAACATTACTTAGTTTCGGATTTATAATATCAGTTAGAATCAGACCGTTGTATATTATAGAGTAATTTTTATTACCAAATTTCGTAGTATTTACTTAATTTCAATTATAACCATTCCTAAGAATGGATAAGTTTCTTATTACTTACCCATGTTATGAAGATAATATATACTTGAATATACACAGCAGGCTGTAACGCGGTAGGAATCTACAGATTTCTGTAAATAGATCCTTTAAAGTTCTTTCTGTTCGTTTCCTTTGCTCTAAATGTGCTGTTTTTTTTTATAATTGTTTTACCTTGTTTAAATTTTAAACTGAAATTTTATGAGTCTGAATATTTTTTATGTCAATTTAGATCTGTCTAACTCTCTGGTGATGGACACATCGTTAACTAACCAATAAATACACCACTACGTTGAATTAATATTAACCACGATGTTGGCAGCCTTTGACAACCTTATGTGGGATAACAGTTGGGGTTGGCATTTTTATATATTAGTACCATTATCTTTATATTTCTGTCTGAAAGATATTTACTAGAATTTGCGATAAAAGCCATAATGAACTTCTTTATACCGCAGAACTGCCAGTAGTGCCATTAGCAAGACATGAAAACCATTCTAGGTATATCAATACTTTTCATACATTTCATTTCAAAATTCTTTCTCAATACTATTTATTTTCTTTACTACTCAAGTTTTACACTGAAATTTCATAAGTTCGAGTCTGCTCAACACCAAAATATTTTTTTGCGTCAATTTATATCTCTCTGACTCTCTGGTGATGGACATATCGTTAATTAACCTAAAAAATATACCACTACGTTGGCAGACTCTGATTACCTTGGGATAACAGTCGCAGTTGGCATATTTATTTATATTTTATTATATGATATCATGAAACCGACATCAGACTAAGTATAGTACCATTATCTTTATATTTCGGTCTGAAAGATATTTACTGGAATTTGCGATAAAAGCCATAATGAACTTCTTTATACCACCAGTAGTACCATTAGCAAGACATGGAAAACCATTCTAGGTAATAATAAACAATACTTATCATTCTCATTTCAAAATTATATTTTCAATAATCTTTATATATCTTTATTTTGACATATATAAACTACTACCAGGTAAATAAATAAACTACTGAATTCATATAGATCTATGCAACCAAATAAATATAATTTAACTATTTTTTATATAACTGATTAGCAGACACGCTGGCAGTGACTTGATGGTAAGTGGTAAATCGTCGTCTATAATAAACACCATCACGTCACATGATGATCACATCAGGTTAGGTTAGACGTGCAACGCTTGAGGGATAGCCGTCATGCGTTGCCATTCCGGAGATCTAAGTCGATATCCCTCTGTACCCTTAAATATATGCCATAATCCCAATTATACTACTCGCACACTGTCATATCACGTTCTCCAACCTAAATACAGCTTAAAAAACATGCTCTGTGGCGGCAAACATACTTACCTACCCCACTACTACTTAGACACCCAAACAGACTACTTTGTGTAAAGTGTACTTCTATCTTATAGAAAGTACCATGCTGTGAACTTTACTTTACTCACTGCTTGCTGTGCAATTTTGGCTCTTTGAGATTTCCTTATTTATCTATTATAAATCTACTTGTAGCATTGGCCATACAACGTGTCCCTGACGTCTTCCTCCCTAGTAGAGATGATAATGACGAAGTTCTGGAAGGTAGGTTCCCGTAGGTATTGCATTGCAATGTTCCATTAGTAGTAATTAACTTTCATTTTTAATCATATAACCAAATCAGTATAATTGAGTTGGATTAAAATACTCCTAAAATTATGTATAAATTTACTAATTATAATAATCCTTTCAGATAATTTTAATTTTAATAAAGGGGTATATAAATCGTGTATTTACAGTACTTGCTTGGTTTTCCTGTGGTGTGGAGTTCCTTATATTCGGATGGTCTTATGAGGATGTTCTTACACAATGAATAAAATAATATGTAGAATTCATATATACATATGTATATGTGGATGAATAATTAATTAATTAATGCTGCCTTTGTTTGACAAATGATCTTGAAGTGCATAGAATTTGCATTAGATGCAAGGGTAAAAATTTGAATAAAATTCCCATAAAAGTTTTATTGTTGGTTTAATTGTCATTTTGTTTCAATGTATTATATATTTAAATGAGTTTCATAACAAAAGTTTAAAGTAGTAAGTATGTATAAATAGGCTTACACTATCATTATGACTGTAGTATCAATGATAATATGTATCATGTTACGGTTATGCGTTAATTAATTTTACTGAATAACATTATAAAAAAATGCTTTATTGCGAATCTTTAATTTTTAACTATAATATTTTCAGGCCAAGAAACTGGAATGAGGAATCACTATTAAAAATTACTAGTCTTTATAATCTTTTTCTTAACAAAAACAGACACAAATGTTTATTAACAAAACAATATTTTGTCTACTTAGTTTTAGGTAGTATGCTGTTAACTGTGTATTTTTTCATCGACAATTAAGCACCCATTTCTTGTGATAAGTTTTTCTAATAAACTTTTAATTGTATAATAATATTCTTTCGATTCAATACCAATAAGTTATAAAAAAGGACATCAGTCAGACTACCATTTCATTTTTCTCAAACCAGTTTCTATGCAATCGGTACCAATATATATTCACTAAGTACAAAAATATTAATTTCAGAATATCTATGAAGAACATAAGCATTTAAATAATATACAAAAATAGCCAATCAAAATGTATTTTATTTTGTACTCCTTCCCATCAGAGCAACTGGTTAGAATGCGGTTACGTGTCGTTAAATATCGAAAGCATGTCGCACATGATTATATTGAAGAATTTTTGTCTATATATAACTAATAAGTATATTATAACAATGTTCAAGGTAAAATTAACGACATATAATATTTGAAATTAGTATCTATATTGCTCATATTTGTACAAAGTTTCATCGCGTATTGGTGTTCTAATTCAGAAAATATACAATACTATACAATTATACATGAATATAAATATTCATTTATAAACATCTTTTTACAAAGCCCTTATAATATTCGAGTACCCATATTTTCAGGAACTAGTAAACAAAACATTACATTGATCCAAAGATCACTCTATAATAGGCGAAAAATTACTCAAGGTGTTCCTTTCATAACATGACTAAATAAGTTAAGTACAAAATTGAAATTTAGTATCATTATTATAATGTCTTTGTTTCCACAGGTTAATATATTTACACGACTATATACAAAGCTATCACATATTACAATTTCATTCGTATCACTATTTACATTATTGCAAGTTCATGTCTCATTGTCAATTAGACGATAACACGCTGTCACTGACGTACGTCGTAAAGAAATTACATTTACCACTTTGTCCTTAGAGTAAAACTTTTGTTAGACGTATACTATGTGTGGTTTCTCTGGCGTTCTGTGGTGTGGAATAGTTTCATAAGCGAACTGTTGGTAAATATGTTCTTCACTATCCTCTTGATAATAAGGATTTTTGTCTACACTATGCCAAGGTGGATTTAACGAATGAAAATTATTAGTCACAGAGGAACCGATCATTAAATATCGATCTACTTCTCTCTTGTTTTCTTGCTCTCTTCCTCTTGTTGAATACCCTAACCCATTTCCTAATTTAGATACATCACCGTTCAACATGACACTTGTCATCACCTGCTTCGATTTATCGCCTTTACACTTTTTTAAAGGTCCCAGGAAATATAAAACTCCTCCGATTACACTTATAACAATACTCACAGTTAGCACCACTACTGCCACTATCACCCATCCACTTGAGCACCCAAATTCCGATTCCGGAATTTGAACAAATAAAGCGCCTTTCAAGTGCATAGGTCCCGCACACCTCACTTCCTCATAGTCTATTTTTAGAATCAAGCTTGAGTTATCAACCTTTTTACTATTTATTTTACTGTCTTTTCCTAGTTTCCATAGCCACAGTAACGAACAATTGCATATAAATGGATTCCCAGATATTTCTAATTCTTGCAATCTATCTATTGGGAAATGAGAGGCATCTAATGTTTCCAATGCGTTATTTCTCATATATATATGAGTCAGCTTTGGATTACCATGGAAAAGTCTTGGTGGAACTTCCCTCACCTTTACATTTTCATTCATCCATATCTTCTGCAAATTTATATTGTCGACGAAAGCTCTAGAGTCAATTTTATCAAGTTCGTAAAGTCTGCTTAAATGCAAATGTTTTAAATGGAAAAGACTTTGAAACGATAGCGAAGTTATATTCTGAATGAAATTTCCGCTCAGATACAAATGAGACAAATTCGATATTTTAGACAGTGCTGCTGTCGGAATTGACGTAATGTTATTGTCGCTCATGTCTAAGTGACGTAGTGAAGGTAAATTGTGGAAACCTAATTGGTCCACTTTATCGATTAGATTGCTATTCAAATCTAAATGTTTCAATTCCTTTATATATGGGATACCGTGCTTTGGTACTTGTTGTATCAAATTTTCTGATAGGTCTAAATATTCTAAATTAATAACAAAGAAAAGATTTGATGACGGTATGTCTAATATGCTATTGTTTCTCAATGACAATACCTTTAATATTGACAGAGGCTCAAATGTATCCAGTTCAAAGCTCACGAGCTTATTGTTTGATAAGTCGAGCCTTTCTAACATAGTTAAGTCTTTGAAAGTTTGCGCATGTATATTCGATATTTCATTATCAGATAAGTCTAAATCCATAAGTCTTTTTAGTCCCATAAAGGTGTCCTTGTCTAAATGCTTCAGCATGTTATGACTCACATTAAGATTAGTCATCTCCATGTTGTTTTCAAAATTTTTACTACCTAATTCTTGAATCCTGTTGTATGAAATGTCGAGAATAGTGAGCTGGGTATAGAAAGTGAAGGTGTAGAGAAGACTGTTTATTGCATTGTGAGTCAGGTTGATATGGGTAACCTCCGGATTCAATTGTATGGGGACAATTTCGAGGCCAGCGTTGGCGCAAGAGGCAGCCCTCAGTGAGTCGTCGCAGGCGCACCGCGGAGGACATAGCGTGCGGGCTGTAGCACCCCACGCCCAAGCCATCACCACCACGCACCAACGCCATTTCGTTATGCCGCGTGAGCCCATAACATCTCATGTACATACGCCACCGAAATCCTGAAACAAAATAAAATAAAACATTAATTTATTTATTCATTGAACATAGAAATTTATCCTATGACGTTTATTAAATTCATTAATATAAATTAACTAATTACTTCAAATATAAGCATCGCTATGTTTTAAGTTAAGATTAGCCTATGTTACTCCTTATAATATAAGCTATAAGCAAGGGAAAATTGGTCTTGCCTTTTTAGATAATTACAAGAACAACCAGACAGACAAACAGATAATTTCTTTTTATAATAAATTTTGATGAAGAACCCTATATAATTTTATATAGTGAAAACTCAGTATACATTTGAAATTACAGACAGATACTTGTTTTTACTTGCATAGATAAAAAAAATCTATACAAGAGTAGGTACAATTCTCTCAGGAACAAAAGTAAAAATAAACAACACTATCACTTGCCAAAATCTTAATATAATATCTGGAGGAAAGTGTAGATAACAAATTTGCCGCGCCGCAATTTGTATGAGGGGGAATGAAATTGTTTGATCCAAATTAGGCCGATAACAGACGTGCCATGTCGACTGAATAGTAGCGGAGCCACCTAAACTTTTTTATTATCTTTCCTACCCTATTACTGCCTAGCATAAAAGGACAGTACAAGTTTCATTTAATGCAAATAAAAGTAGTCAAGAGATAGTTAGGAAATGATTTGTTATAGGTATGTTTATTATATTATAATTTTAAATGTTTTTTATAATATCGTTTTGATTTACATACATTTAATTCATGCCTTTTTTACGTTTTGTATTTAATTCTTTTTATTTCATCTTTTCCTCACTTGCTCTGTGAAAAGTATTGTATTAAGTGTGTGTGTGCAGTAGTGTCGGTTCTCTCCTTTTCCCTTATACACTATTAATTGATTATGTTCTGAGGCTTTGACACAATTCAATCGTGAACTGCGATCGTGTCGACTGCTATCCTCATAGCGTGAATACTTACGATCCTTGGTGTTATATTTTCTTTTTTTGCAGCTGCGGTTCCTGCATCCAACACTATGAGATTTTTGAACATTGTTTGTTCTGCGTTATCTAGTATTATTATGGGTTTATTTTTATATAGGCTGTATAATGCCAAGGTAAATGTGTCGTTCTCAGAGTATACTCGTAGGTGTAAGTTGTATTACCGGCTTCCCTCGTTACAAGGAGAATTGCTTGTTATTAATTGTTCCGCGTTCAAGACGAATGTTCCCGGTAACGGGAAACTAGCGGCTAGCACCCGCCGCTAATCCTCCTCCGCCCGAACGACTCCTCAACAATGCCTCCTAAAATGTTCGTCGATTTAACAAAGGAGCGTTTGGTACTTTAAATTAAATGTTCGGCTTTACAATTCGACGGAATGTATAATGAATAGCACCGTAACATCTGTTAACGAAGGCGAACGATCTCGAAAGTTTTCACGCGCGGGAATAACTAATTGCGAAGGTTGGAATTCAATTTATGGCTTCTAGTGCGCCTCCCGGGAGATCACGCCATGCTAAAGTATTAATAATGCAAAACAGTGTCACGAAAAGTTTTTGATTCGAAATGCAAATTAAATTAGAAAACAAAGTTGTGAGTGTTGAGCTGGTTCCGCTGCTTTATCATTTATTATCGGTTGTATTATGCTAAGCGATTAACAAACAACAACCATTTTGTCCAACAACATAAATAACTACAACGATGGGCCGTACAAGGGTTTAGAACTCCTTTACAGAATACAAATGAAAAACATATAATAAATTTAAAATATATCTACAATGTTACGGAATTAAAACTAGTTTCTTATACTGAATTAATATAACAATTATAAATAAACACTCTTCTTTGTATACAACACAGTAATCGAATATCCTTGAATAATTAGTTTAGGAATTGTGTATTACAATAATTAATAAAATCACGAACAATATACATAATGTAATGTACATAATACGATATTCGGGTAAACTTATAATTATATATAAGCCTATTTGTAAGTATATCATACTTCATATAGGCTCAATAAGTCGAATATCACAATTTTTAACATCCTGTTCAGAATTATATGATTTAAAAGGGGACTATTTCTGAAGACCCTAATGTGCATTTTAAATAACTATTTAGTGAGATGCGAGAAGACATCAGGCTCCCCTAGTAATATGATATGAGTTGAGTCGAGGCAAATGGATTACGCCAGCCCGCCAGAATTACAGAAACCATACGTATACACTTTATACATGAAACATTCCGGTATTAGGATGGATTAATTCGGTTCCAAATGTATTCTAGATCACGTGAACCGAAAGATGTCAGTTTAATCATCTTATTATACAGACTACAAAATATAAAATCTGTTATCTGAAGTAGAGCCTGTATTAAGTATTATTCTTAAGTGTTAGAAAAAAAATATAAAGAATATGATATTAATGAGAAAACGTTATTTATATTAATAAATAATTCATTTGACTCCATTATTAATTCATTTCAGAATGTGATTGAACAGTTTGCTAAACATCGTTTGCTTAGTTAAAAGTTGTTGGATGTACGGCACGAATGCGTAAGGGCGAGCATGCCCTCCATTTCCGAGCTTAATCTGCCCTAGCCGGCACTCTTTTGTCTTTTAATTTCCTGTCCAACAGAGTGCGCTTCGATCGTGAATTTCGCTTTCGTGAGCTTCGTTAACTTGTATCGACCTTTGTTGTTGCCTATTGAACTTTTCCATTACCAACGCCATCGATTGAAACCGCTAAATTCGTTGGAAAATTCTTGTCGCTGAAATCAACGCGTCCAACAAATGAACAGCTTCCGATATCATCCCATTTTCCTTAACAGAAACGAGTATGTTTTTAACTTTATGTTTTGTTTTCCCTCCACGGAATCTTTTGGAATGGAAATTAAATATTTTCTTATAGAGAAAGTTAGAGTGTTACATCATTTGGATGCGGAATTTTAATAATTGTAACGGACTTTCTTTTGTTTGCGACCGGCTGGCTAATGTAATTTTAAAACAATGCCGTGTTTTATATAGGTTTATTCAAACTCGATTTTATTTTCTTGTTTTGTATCCAATGACACTGGTTTTACATTTAAATACAGCTGAATACAGTGAATTTGGTAAAAGGCTTCAAGGCAATCTAATACAATATCTTCATAATGATATAAATAGCTTCGCTTAATTTATCATCGTAAGAATTGGTCAAACTTAATTGTTGAACTGATCAGATACATAGACTAATAGCGAGTTATCACGGTGTTAAATCAACTTGTGATGTTACTTATACAGAGGACGGTTTACGAGGGGGAACCGAGACAATAAAACCAGTGCAAAAGTCGGGTAACCGCTTCACTCGCCCACTCCCTGAGAAAATATCTTAGTCTTCTCTGCTTTTATGAGTTGCTTAACTTATGCGCTACCGTTTTTAAAACAGTGTCTAATATAATCCGAATTTTTTATTGTCGTATTGAAATAGAACGATGTATATATACAATATAATTTATCTTTACCATGTTTCTAACAGAGATGATGTGCGGACTTTTTAAGTCTTTATATTATCATGTATTATATAGTCTTAAGTCTAATGCTTTCAACTAAATTTTAGATCAATTCGGATTTTAGATATAAGGGAATGCAATTATTTCTCCTAAGGCTGTATACCAGCGAGGCAACAGTGGAGGTAGCACGAGGTCATATCGGTAAGGTCGGTCAGCCTATCCTGAAAAATTCTAATGAAATTAACCACAATATTTTACTAAAGAGACCACTTGGAGTCGGTATAACATTGCTAGCAATGGGATTGGTCACAAATCCCCATTATTAAAAATCCCGTATTCAAATAGGAAATAAATGTACTGACGCTTGACATCTATTCAACCAAACTTCCTTTAGGTATGATACATAGATATAATTATAACGTCTATTGTATAGCACATACACAATGATGGACGTAAGTAATAGTGTTAGTAACGGGCACTAAGGAATATAATGAGAAAACTTGGGCTGCAGGCGTGTGCCTCAGGCAGGGGCAAAAACAGCAGAGCAACCGCTCTTCTCGTTCCGGATTCAATGTGCACGTACATTTCTTAGAAAATTAATGTAAATAGTTTTTATAGTGTATTAAATGCACTGGTACAATTTTAATGTCAGCTGCCAACAAAGCGCTGTTTATCTTTTTCCTAGTAATAGGCATACTGTTTATTGTAACTTTATAAGGAGATACATTAATACATTAATATTTATAATTTATGGCAATATACAAATTTACAGGAGTAGGCTGTGTGTATATATATATAGTGTTTCTCTAAAATGTTACAATATGTTTATATACATCTTTAAGAATACTACAAGATATATTACATTCTATATACTCATAACAACAACTTGAGTATTTAATACAGAACAAAAGTAATAATACTCAGGTACTAAGTAGGTACTGTTAGGTATACGTACTTTCGTAAACAGTATATATCAAATAATTATACTTTCCTTTATTTCTTACTTACTCCATGATTAAGTTACAGCAGTACTTTTCATTACTAAACTTCGGTATACCTGCATAGTTCTAACTGCTAAATGGTGCAATTATCCGACGTTTAATTAAGCGCACATTAAGGCCACCGATTATTAGTTACGTGTTCGCACCCTAATCGCAGGCAAACACATTTTAATATCCACCGCTGGAGCTCACATACCAATAGTTACTCGCCACAATTATTGATTTTGCAATCAAACCCTGATTATAGATGTCGACCACATCCCGTTGACTAAACTACGTAGATTTATTAATATATATAACTCAATTTAGACAACTCTCTGTGCCTAGTTTAACTTGTTGAACAATTTATAAAAAGATTTACATAATTTGAGAGATATATGTACACACTTCAAAGCAAATTGAAATACATATATCAAATACAAAGCTCTACTTAAGTCCTCCAATTACTTTAATGTTAACGATAACTAAAGAATTCGAAGAAACGTCACGTCGTTACATTGACAATACAGAACGTCGTCGTCACAAAATATCT